CTACCCCCCAGCGCGGACCCGCGTGACCACCGCATCAAGATCATATCAGAGACCATTTACAGCGCGCCCCGGGTTCGTCGGATCTCGCGTCACGTGATAGGTTCGATACGTGATCAATGATGCGCCCGCCTAACAACCAATCTGGGGCTCAAGCTCGGCTGACGCAAAGGCAACCCACTCGCCCCATGGCAACGCCGCGACGTCACAACAAACCGTTGCCATGGTGACCGACGGTTCGACCGCCACGCGGGTGACATGACTAATGGCGACAGGGAAACCCCATCGATTTCCACCGAGTATTGATAATAGATGCTGAACGCCCGCTTTCGGCCGCTAGCGTGTTGACTGGCGGTAAGTGTCGACGGCTGGTGCTGACAGGGGTGCAGAATTGACTGCACACGGCGGGGGTGACGCTGAAAAAGGGTGACGAATCGAGCGCAAACGCCCCCACAATAACGCGAACTGGGGAAACTAGAACGCTGCGACGGGCGTGCGGGTTTGTCGCCGTGATTGCACCGATTGTCGCAGCCGTCCGCTGTGTGATTTGGCACACTTTCTGCGGCCCCGGCAGGAGCCGCGACACACACAAAGAAGCTTTCACGCATAAAGAGGCGGTTCGTCTGCCGAACGGGCCCTCAAGCGTACGGAACAGATGAGTAACGAGATTGTCAGTTTGCTCCATCTGGGCGCAGCTTTCTCACCCCAGCATTACGCGGGTCCTCCATACCACGGCGGGCTCAGGGGCCGTCTGTGCGGTCGGCAGAGGTGGTCCAGCAAGATCGAGCCCTTCCGTCCGAGATCCTGACCCACCAGAAGAACACGCCATTACTTGATTAACTGATGGATGGCCCCGGCCCGCAACAATGGCGCCGCTCAGGTACAATACCGCTGATTTATGAAGCATTGTACGGCCGTAATGACAGCTTGTTGTACGCCGTGTATTCCAAGAATTTCAAAATCAAACAACAGACTTTGGAGCACTTCAGACAAGAGCGGGCCCATCAACGGCCTCGTTTCGCCAGTCACCGCCAAGAGAACAGAAAGCGGCCAAAACTCCGCTTTCCTTCAGCTGCGTTAGCACGGGCCAACTGAGCCAGGCCCCCATGTTTTAGCACGTGATTAATTTCGCCTGAGCGCCTCGCAAATATAGGTTAGCTCCAATGGAGCGGCGAGACGGACCCCAAACCGTCAATCAGCGCCCGGACCTGGGCCATCGCACAGTCCGTTGCCATCCGACACCCTACAAATGCAAATACCGGCATTTCGGCCGCCGGCCATTAACATAATAAGCAGCGGCGCTGACCGGCACTGGCGGGGTTATTCGCTCGTGCCAATTCACGGCCAGTGACCGCACTTCCCGTGCGCTGCCGCCGCCGCCGCCGCCGCCGCCGCCGCCCGCCTCTGGCGCATTGTCTACCACGCGCACCCGTCCGGCGAAGGTCAGTGGACGCATTGCGACACCTGCCCACTGGACAGTGTCGCTACGTGGAGTGTGTGTGTGTGGGGGGGGGGGGGGGGGCGGGAGGGAGACGGGGATGAATTGGGGCACTTGTCGGGGCGCCGGGCAGCTATCCATCGGCAGATCAGGGACACTGCGCGAGCCCGCCCGGGCGGGCGGTTGTAAAATCTCCGCAGGGGAGGCTGTTACGGGGTAGGGTACCCGAGTCACACAGCGAAAGAGCGGGTGTTTGGGGGAACGCGGCGAGAAGGTCGACAGGCCAACACAGTAACTGGTAGACTGGTGGCGAGGGAGTGCGACGCCCAGCAAAGGGAGTTGACAACCAGAAGCCACGCGCTGGTTCCCCATGACGTAACGAATATTCCGTTGGTCTCAGCTGTACACACCCTGCGCAGCCCCCTCAAGAGCCTCTCAGTAGGTGCCGCACGTTTTACAACCGGAGTAACGACAGGGCCGGACTAGGGTCAGCGATGTACTACATAGTGAGAGGTCGCACAGCATTTTGAGGTCAGCAACAATCTGTAGCAAAGGTGACAGGTTCTGGGAAGCAAGAGCACCTTAAGCCGTCTCTTGGTTTTAAGGACACGTCCCCCTATTACGGCCTCAGACCATCCAGACAGCGGACGGTCCTAACACAAAGCGTCCGCATGCATTGGAACCATCGCCGGGCCGCCGTGCACCACCAGCCGGACAGAGCAGCTGAAAATTCCCACCCTATCATAACCCCCGCCCAGACGCCCACCTCACGGATCCCAAACCCCTGCCGTGAGGTCCGGGTGGAGCGACTCACGTGCTCCCTGCCCTTGGTCGGCGCGGAGGGGGGGGGGCGGCACGACAGGAGGGAAGGGGAAGGCATGAGGACGGGGAGGGGACATCCTGGCGGACCGCGAGACACGGTGCGACCCGTTTTTTGGCGCGTTTTTGCTGGCCGGCCGGCTGGTCGGGTTACGCGGGCTGCGTGCCGCCGCGCGCCGCCCGGTGGCCACTGCCCAGGACAGACGAGCGGCCCCCGAGAACGGAATGCCAGGATGGGCCCAGCAAAAAGCATGAGAGGGGGCCGTGCAGGGAAAGCAGCGGACGACAACAAAATTGGCACGTGAACGTGGTTTACTTCCACTTGTAATGCATAACCACTTATATGTTCTGTAGCGCGTGAGTAGAGCAAAACACTGGTTTACATTTCCAGGATCATTAGAGGTGGAGACGGCGCCTGCCTGGCCGCACCATCTCGAGGCAGGCCTCCAAAGTCCACAGTTGTGTGGCCAGCACAGTGGCATCAGCAGAAAACACGCGACGAAAAACGTGCCGTGGTATAGCACGGTCACCTGTTGCGAAACGCCCAATGTCAGCGGGTCCGTCAGCCAGGCGGGCACGCAGCGGCTCAATGAGAAATCGATGGCCTCGTTTTCCGTGACCCGCTGGCTGACGGCCGCGCCACCGTGAAGCCACTGAATGTCGGCAGATCGCAGACAGGTGCGACAGGCCGGCTGCGCGTACAAGCGCCAGGGGATGACTGAAGCTTTCTGCTGCGGGACGGGACACCGCCCTCACACCGCCCTGACACGCCCCCCCCCCCCCCCCCTGACACCGCCCTGAAGACCGTTGGCGGGACCGGGCCGAGGCTGGGACAAGGCGAAAGGTATCCCAAAGCCGCCATCGAAGAGCTGCTGCCACCGCCAGCGGGCGCATTGAACGGACAACTGGGGAAGGTTTTCCCCTCTGCTTTTCCTTCCGTTGTTATTCCGGCTTAGGACGCGTGGAACGATTGCGATCAACTGCTCTAGATTTCTCACGTCGCGTGCGGCGGGAAACCGGAAGATTGCCAGTGACAACAGTCAGTAAGCGTAAGGCAAGAGTGCTCCCAAATCACGCAATCAGACCTGGGCTGGATGACGTCGACAACGGCTGATCGTGAGTGCCCTGTCTTATTTCGCTTTAAGAGAACGAATTCCACCCCGCGAGGCAGCAGGGGGAGCAAACTGCATCCTATCGCTAGAAAGGCATGGCGTGATATCGGGGCTTGCTAGTGTACTGCAGCATAATGTCATGGGAAATGCGTGATGTTTGTCAAGTCATAGCATGTCATAGCGTAGTGTTTGTCACGACAAAGGATGGCGGCTGACAGCCAATCTTGAGCATGCGGATCGCGCTCACCACCACAACCACAACCACACCACCGCGGAGCCGACGCGGCTGGCAAAACACGCACGGGCCCACAGCCCCGTCCCCCTCCCCCGCCGCCGCCGCCCCCCCCCCCCCCCCGGCGTAAAGAAGCCCGATGACGCGACCCCGGCCCGGCCCCGCCCCGCGTCCCGCATTCCTGCTGCTGCCCCGATCAGCGAAGCGTCCCCCACCCCGCACGCCGCAGTGGGGATCATGATAGTGGACAGGAATGTGATCCAGCCAGGTCTGGCCGGGCGGCAGGCGCGTCCGCCAGGTCTGACCGGGCGGCTGGCGCGTCCACCGGGCCTGCGCGGTCACCGGCGAGACTAGCCTGACACGGAGAGCTGCCTTCCCGACCGGCCACAGTCTGAGAGGGGCGTGCCAGTCTGGGGTGAACCAGATGGAGTGGTGTGAAGAAATGGCGCAAAAATTCATGCCAGCGTGCACGTTTCCCATGAGATAATCAAGCGCAATCATGACTACAGACACGGGTAGCACGCCCTCCTTGATGCCTTCACACCACAAAAGCTCTGATCCTCCCCGAGATTTCTCTCCGCCACCCCGCCAGCGCTGTCCGGCGCCGTGCCCGTGAGCAGGCCTGGGGTCTGTCCCTGCTGGCTGGTGAGACGGACGCTGAGTCCGTGCCCGGTTCGTCCGGCACCTCTCCATCCGAGCCTAATTTGTGGTCGCCTGGCGCCGTTGCGGTCAGATGACGCCGCCAGACGTCACCGCCAGCCGGCGTGTGACTTAGCGCCCGCTCTCATCGCCGGCGCCGGAGGAGGGCTTGATCGCGGCGCACGTGCACCGCGCCGCCGCCGAATTTGTCGCTCGTAAAGTGCTGCGTTGATGTGGCCTCCCGGCGCGCGACTAGACGTCTCGGCAGGGAGGCTGGTCGACGCGTGACCACGGTCCTTCCAGCGAGAGCAGTGCATGAGGCTGTGCAGAATCGGTGGCCAGCGCCGAGGCAGTGCGCATCTCGGTGAGGTACGCCTGCTGTCGGAGCATGAGGCCAGGCCTCGAACGGAGAACGGGCAGTCTTGTCAAGAGGCGCACATCGGAGGTCTCAGACGACTCCGCGTTGCTGAGTAGCAGAGTCGTCAGCTGTGTTGGCGCCATATCCCCGTGCTCACCAAGGTTCTTTGCTTCCGTCTCCACTCCCCGCTTCCACCTCTATTTCCCGCTTTCTCATCCATCTCACACCCCGACTTTCATGCGCTATCCCGCCCCCAGTTCCGTGCCTTCATCTAATTCCCTGCCCCCACCTCCGTCCCCGCACTCAAGCTTCACTACAAGTTTCTAAATCCACCCGAAGCTCCCGCCGCGCATCAATCGGCTCCCAAACACATCTCGACAGCCGCGAGTGATGGTCGGAACTCACCTTCAAAGCGCAGAAGATGCAGGACTCTCGCATGCAGGCATGGCCGGACAGATCCCGGAAACTACGGCGGAAGATGTCCAGATGCCACAGCACCTGCAATCAGAAAACCCGACGTGAGGCTCAATCCGAGGGGCAAACGAGACGCCCAATCGTGAGACTCAATCCGAGGGGCAAACGAGACGTCCAGTCGTGAGGCTCAATCCGAGGGGCAAACGAGACGCCCAGTCGTGAGGCTCAATCCGAGGGGCAAAAGAAACGCCCCACCGTGAGGCTCAATATGAGAAAACACAGCGTGTGGCTGAATCCGCGGAACGAACGACATGGGAACAGACTGGACCGTGCAGGCTAGCACGCCATGAGGATTTTTGAAATTGGAGTAGCGGTAAACGTGTTGGAAAAAGCTGCTTTTACGACACCAAAACACAAATGACGTGAGCCAGCACTAAAGGAATTTGCCCCGAGGGAGCACCCATCCTCGCTCTCCCTCTTAGCATCGTCTCTCTCTGCACGTGTATGGGTACTATCGCGTGCAGGGATCCGGGCACGGAAGGCGGATCTGCATCAGGTATAATCACGTAGCACCAGTTCTCTGCCAAAGTCAGACCGGTTTTGAAATCACCGCGACGCTCCCGAAGCTCGCCAGGCTTCGGCCGAGCCCTGAGCTCAGGACACAAACAGGAGTCACGGTTTCGGACATGGCGGGAAGCAGACACAAAACACACCTTAAAATTCGGTGTGCCTCTACGTGAGCTGCGGAAAATTCGGGCATATTTCTCCGAAAGGGAGGGACGCTTCCTTCCTGTAGGGGACGTACACAATGCGCACCCCACCTAAAAAGGGCTCAATTCATCCCGAAATGCCCGAAAATGCATTGCCAGCGATGAAGGAAAACACACGCTTCCTGCATCCCGCCGCGCACGCCACTGTGATCTCGCGTGGCTCGGCGCTCCTGCTCGTGTAGCGCCTCCCGCCCCGCCCCGAGCAGCGCCGAGATGGCGGGAGGGCGTGCCCCGCTAGGTAGCGTATGCAGCGTCCGTGACCGGAGGCCCCGCCCCGGGCCGCCGCGGGCCAGTGCGGACGCCTCTCGGCCAGAGCGGAAATGCCGGACTGGTGTCTGCACGAGAGAGGACTGAGGGAATCTCGCGCTTCTGGTCTCCTGGCCCGCGGAAGATAGGAAGACAGTGTGTGATATCTGCTGAGCACTTCAAGACAATAAAAAGACAAGCTTGGAGGCGGTTCATCCAAACACTTGGCAGCATCAACTTTCAAAAGTATACTAATAAAACCAGACCTGTATTAAGAAAGCTTCATGACAAAAGCTTTCGGGAGGTAGAAATGTTTACTTTTGCAGCACATCAGCCATCGGCGCATGTGCCACGGCAAGAGCGGGAACTCAAAGTGTCATAGCGTTTCTCGTGGTCCAGATCTATTCCAGAAATCTCTTCTGGAGATCAGGACCGCGAGAGACTTGAGAGGGACCGGAGCTGGAGTATAGAGAGCGGCGCAAAAGGAAGCTCGCAACACCAGATGGTCGAGGGTCTCCGTAGTGGGCACATTCGATTCAGTATCGTGATCTCCGGCTGACCACTCGGACGCGGATGATTACTGCCTTTTACAGACGGCAGCAGATGTTGCAACGCCATCTCCCGGTATTGCGCGGAGAGGCATCTGCGCTGCATCTGGAACATTTCTAAGTGCTCAGAGAGTCAAATAACCTCTTATTTAGCGCTGTAATTGCTCCGGTTACAAGATTAGCTAATTGCTCCGCGCGTTCCGGCTGTCCAGAGTAAGCCGCAATTTCGCAATTAGCTCTGTGGGTCCAGAGAAAAGCAAGCGTTGGACCGGCCACCGGAAACCCCTCTCACGGCGCCGCTTGAGAAAGAGCTCATTATGCGCGCATTTCACGGAATTACGCCGGACGCAGGACCATCCGTGGAAGACGGGACTGGATGAAGTATCGCCGTCTGACCCGTTCAGACACCCTCGTGTTTGCATACGGACTCGGTGTTTACGCCGCCAGGGTCATAATCGCCTCCATAATGTCACGGCGCGGGGTCATCCGCGACGCATTAGCCGTCACTGGAGCCGGACGGAACGCGGCACGAGGCGGGCGGGAGCCCAAAGCGACGCTAATGCCTGGCGACAGTCGACGGCCGCGCGTGATGCATGTGCGGAGAGGAAATCCCGAGATGAACGCGTCGGAAGCCGAATTCCGCCCGTAATTATCTGCAGCGGAAAACAATAAGTCATCTATTAGTCGAGTTTAATTGCGCCGGCCGCAGTTATTCGCCCCCCGGCGCAACTGTTTATTTTTTCATTACGCGTGCCGCCAACAAACCACGGCGATCGATCACCGCGCGCGCTGACCTCAAAAGGTGCGCCACAATTGTCCCGCAGCGCGCCGCTTTGTGGACGGCCGGCCCGCGGTGCGACGAATTAACGTTGGGAGCCGGTTTGGGCGCCGGTCTCCCGAGCACCTGTTTGGTCGGCGCAGCCAAGTCACGCGAGAAATTGCGCTGAGTTATGCAAAAACGAGGGCTTAACACCGCACCAGCTGGAAAGGCTACAAGACGCGGTACCGCGCGACTGATTTCGTTCACGCCGTTTTGAATTATCTACCCGTGAGTTTTCATTGGTGGCCCCTGAACGCTCGTCTCGAATTCTGCTAAACAAGGAACCCCAGGATACAACCACAGATCCCGAAACCAGGGCATCATTGATCCTCTCGCCCCGAGTGGCCGACACAAGCCTGGATTGTTTTCCATAACCGACAAGTGAGCATGCCGAATGGTGGCACCGCTTGTTCGACGTACACCGCATTTGGGTATACAATCTCCTCATGACGGATCACGTTCGACCAAAAGGCCGGATGAATGTGGAACAGACCGCTAGTCCTCCTCAATACTGTGAAGCGTACAGCATCGGCGCCTCCTCCATCGTACCTCCGCACAGAAAGAATTACGAACAGATCTCCAGGAAAACATTTCTTGACGCAGCGCGCGCCGGCCCTCGTGCCTTCCGCATACCCCCGATGTGCGCACTCTCCCAGGCAAACAAACGGGAAACAGGCCTGCAGATCACTCAACTCTCCCTCGCACAGGCGCCGACAGGGGCACGTGCGTGTCCATGACCGCGCACATCTTCAGGCCGCTCGTGGGTGTGTCACTCGACCCTGATCACACACCGACCCGCCCCAGCACCGAGCGCAGCACCCCGTGGTGACCTGAGGTCAACCGGCTGCCGACAGCACACAGCGCGGGTGCGGGAGACGCGAGGAGGGGCGACGACGGCCTGCATGGCGCGTGTGCTGTGGCGGCGCCGGCTGGTGGTGGTGCTGGCGGCGCCGGCTGGTGCTGGCGGCGCCGGCTGGTGGTGGTGCTGGCGGCGCCGGCTGGTGGTAAGGCGCCGGCTGGTGGTGGTGCTGGCGGCGCCGGCTGGTGGTTGCGATGCTCACTCGACGCGCTCGGAAGTTCTATCGGAGGGCATCGACACTGCCCCGGTGCAGGCGAGGTTGCGGGCGCACCGCACCTGGGGCGAGGGTGAACACCGGAAGGGGGCGGCCCGGTGCCATGACGTGTCTTGAATTAGGGGCACAATGAGCGGGGCAGCCGCGTTGAATCAAGGGGCGCCTCGAAAATCAAAGCCACCGACGGCCATGCGGACTTTTGCGTGCTTCTTGCACGCTCGTGATTTCGCAATTTTCCAGTTTCCGTGATGAATTATTGTAATGAATTCCTACCAACGAGCAAATGGCATTTCCACCAATAGGGTTACCTCACAGTACCGCCTCTCCAGGCGCCGTTTCACCCATCGGATTCAGGGTGTGCGGGCGTGGGACGCCCCGTTTTCGACAGACGAGCAACTGGAGCAGCTCTCACCAGGAGACAACGCTGTCAGGTCCGCTACCGTTCACGGCACGACAAGGTGTCAATCCCGCCCTGTAATTAGAAACCGGTGCTGGCGACGGGGGTCCAGATGCGACCACTTGAATCGCACCCTCTCACCCGCACACCGCGACCCTCCAGTGGCCTTTCCGTGGCCTTTCGCACAGCCCCGTCGCGCGCCCCGCCGGCTCTGTTCGATCGAACACCGCACTCGTCCCGGGCGCGGGACGTTACTTTGACACCCGTGGGAGTAGATTACAGTGCGCCCGCCGACAAGCCAATGCCTTTCGGCAGAAACAACCTGGGAACAGGCTGGGAGCATGCTGGGAACGATTGCCGTTTGCGGAGCCGCAAGCGAAACGAGTGGGCGGCGCTGAAGGCACCGGCGGTGTCGGCGGCACCGCAGTTGGTACGGATGCACGGATCGCGAGGTCACGTGACCAGGTCGTCACGTGGTCGCCTGGTCACGTGGTCAGGGGTCGACGTCGAAGGTAGTGACTGAAATGACCAAGTGGGATTGAAGTTATCCGCGCAATGCATTTTCAACTGTCTTTCTTGAAAACTGGCTCTCTTGAAAAAGAAATGTAAAAACCAGCGAGGGATTGCGCCATCTGGCCTCGTAGCAAACTTGATTAAGAGAGTCTTATTGGCGGAAAACTCCAGGCTGCTGAGCGCGAGTAACGCCCCGGGAGCGGCATCAAAACATGGCGGCATTGGGTGATCCCGGCGTCTACAACGTCGCTTTATCTCCGCGTCTACGGCACAGCCCATCAATGCCCTGCACAAGCCGCTGACCGGACCTGTATGGAGTCGATGAACTTGAAGGATCGCTTCAGAGCATGCACCGCTGCTGTGAGCAAGTGCCGACTGCGCACGCCTTCATTTGAATAGTCGACCAAGCTGATTAAGTCGAACGTCTTCATAAAAACGGACGCCAGTACGGTTTCTGTCGGAAGCTATTTCTCGCGGCGATGCGCGTCCATGAAGGCGGTGCATTTTTACCAGCATAGACCTTTTGCCAGCGCTCCTATGTCCGTGGGCACCATCTCACCAACAGTTAACATTTCTACGATCTGAGCATAACAGTGCGATACCCACATCTCCTGGTGTATGCAACGTACTGTAGGCTTGAGATCAGTCCCTGCCCATAAAGTGAGCACGAAGGGCAAGCCGAGGCGAGCATAACGGTAAGCAGCCGATGTGCATACC